TTTTTTTGGGACTTCATTCCCAGTTCCAACTGTGTTCAATTTTGCCAACTCATGTGCTGTTTCCTGACATGTGTTTATCTATAATTTACCTCTTTGTTTCGGTTTTTCTCCATCGCTTGATAAAATAGACAGCCGAGAGACAGGCACGATAAGGCATGTTTCAACAACTCAAAACTTTGCCTTTGAGTTTATTACTAAACCATTTGATGGGGAATAGTAGGGGTAATCCTCGGGGTCACGCTAACGGATACTAAAATCTTTGACTGATGAACAAGGAACTAGGAAAACTTGTCATTTAGAGGCAAACGGTAGCGAAGCTGCCTGCGTCTAGAGCTGTACGAAAGCATCAGGTTTTGTGCCACTAGTCATAACAAACGAGTACACACAGACCGAATACTTCACCGTCAGAGCCACTGCCACTATCATCAAATAATGCCGTTTGATAAACCACACTGGAAGGCAGAAATGAGTACATAAAATATCTTATCATGTGAAACTCACAATTCGGCTGACTCCGTATCCGAAGAAAGGAATCAAACTGGTCCACAGATTATCAGTTTGCTATGGAAACTGGCAAGGTGTGGTCGTGTTCGGACCTGCTCGCCAACACGCTAATCGCATTTACTTTTCCCGAGTTTGTCAACCGGTTTCTCGTGTCCTCCACTGTTAACTGAGCGCATCCGTTATACACGAGAAACATGGGATGGATTAATTGTAGATATACACACGCACACATTTATCTCAGGGGAAAATTTACATTACCCATTCTATCCCGTGCAGAGCTTGCTGAATCGCCTCACTTTTGATACTTCATGCAGCAGTCGTGTACCACTGGTTCGATTCAAGTGTCGTTGATAATTCGTAATCAGAAACAATTAGCGAGTGGGGGGTGGGGATGAACTAGCGGTACTCCAAGGGTCTACTCTTCACTAATGGAAAAATAAAGTGCATGGCTTCCTCGGGTTCCTTGTTAATTTGAGTGTCCTAATGTATGGAAGATTTTGTTCAACGACAATTACGAAATCTATGGTTTGTTCACTTTATGGCTGACTGCTTATACAACCATACCTTTCGGATGGAACCCTTCAAAAATGTTCCCATTCCCAGATCCGGAAAGTATGCTGTCTGTTTATCGCAATTAGATATCGTAACTTTACTTTCCTCTTCAGTCGAGTGAACTCTTGGCTTCCTCCATTATGCTGATGATGATCTGGGAATCGAAGTTATATGACCAGACATGGTCAGAATTGGCTCAGAACAGTGGTAGGTGGTACATGTGCTGCAAAACTTCGATTGTCTATTGTCTGACTTCTTTTTCCAGTACCTTCTTCGCCGTTTCCTTATAATTTCTGCGCTCGGGCTTGCACTTCGAACTATAATGATGGTAAAACCAGCTGCTTGTAATAGCTACTTGAATAAAGCATAAATTATGATAATCGATAGGATTGTTATCGGGCCGAACAACAACCCGTCCTCATTTCATATCACTAATAGGAGACTGAAAAAGTTAAGCTGATACAAATAAAGTCAGACTCTAAAGTCTTGTGCGATTCTACAGGGTTCCGGTTGCCTCTCTCTCACATCTTGCTTTTCATGCAAAGTTTCACTAGGTACTCTTCTCATGTAGTTCGTTTGTGATCGATGATCTGATTGGTGGATCGATCATTTTCATGTAGTCCACACCGCACCCGTATACGACTCCCTTGTGTGAGCTTTTTATTTTTCAGGTTTCATTGGCCTGCTATTGATAGGTCTGTCGATTCTTTCTTCTGGATTGTGTTAGGGAATTGTGTCCACTTCTCCTTTTTGCTCCACGTTCTGCTCCGTGTTTTTATTCTGTTTCAACAAATTGATCAGCACCCTGTCCTCGGTTGCTGTTGTTCGTCATTGCTCGATTGAACGATGCGGCAATTGGGTTCATGTGTACATTTCCGTCCTGGTATATCGCCCATTATCCGTACACTGTTTCGTCATCTATCTGCCCATTTCATGCAACTACGATTTCTCACTATCTCTGTCCCATCTGGAACGCGTCTAGTTGCGTTTGTTTCTGTGGAATATCACATGCACGAAAATTTACCACATTTCATGATATGCGATATATATATATATATATATATATATATATATGCGTGTATCTGTTGATTTAAATAGGAATAACCTCTTGTAGAACGCAAGCCAGTTGATCACCGACACACTATTCGGAGACCATGCAGTTTTTCCATGCACGATACAGCGAAAGATCTCTTTACAAGCGAGCTGTGAGTGACGAAATATCTTTTACAGCGAGTTCTATTTGTGCGCTCCATTTTGGTCACCCAGTTCTGGGATAGCGCTTTCTTGTTCGAATAAGTTGCCCATTTCTGTTCACGTGATAAACTAAGCAGTTTAATTTTGCCTGCGATACTGGCGATCCAAGTGCAATATTTAATAACTGTTTGTGAGCCTCAGACCAACTGCTAGTCGTTCATTTTCGTTGTGGATGTATGAAATAAAAAGTGGGCTGATAAATGCACGTGATACTTGATCCATTGATCGCAACCCAGAGAACAGAATCGTGCGACCACCATTTGTTTCAGATATCCTTGAGGTTGTGCAATCCATTGACCACTAACTTATCCTCCTATGTGACCCAGTAGAAAATCATTATCACTCACGCGTAAAATACGGAAGATCACCTTTTGCTATTATTAGAAGCGCATGGGATATAATCGTCTGAATTCAACTGTCCTATAAATGGGTCAGTCGGTTTTTGTTGAGTGCCTCTTGTTGGGGTCTCACTGTCCGCTACCACCTGATACCTTCTTATTACCACCCAACCTATCGCTTAAGTGTACGCACATGTGGTGTAATTGCGTGGTTGGTTGTCTTGTGGTTCCTTATTTTGCCACCGATGACAGTTATATTTAATGCCTACCTCGCTCCACTGTAATTTTGCAATACGTTGAACAATGTGTCATGAACAACACTGATCTCACTTATTATGCTGTACTACATGGTGCTCTATTTTTTAGTACTAGCATACGGTTCATTTGCATTGTGTCTACATCCTCGAATACTCTCAATCGTTTACGGGGTTGATTTCTGAGCATTATTTGCTCAACTGTAAAAGGTTTTGTTCTTTATAAAAAGCGAAATATATAGATGTACACAATAAAAATCCCTGAAGTCAACAACTTGATGTGATGCAATTTCGGATTCTGCCTTGAATCCCTTGGTCTGACCACTAGTAGGTCCTGTTCATAAGTACACTTCCAATCGTTTCCAACACTTTCCCAGTATTTTTCTTCATATTTTATTCAATATCGGTACATGGACATTGTTTTGTGATACCAATAGTCTAGACTGTGCCAACATCCATTTGCTTCAGCTCTCGTCTTTTCTTCTCGCATACCAATTGGATCGTTTCGATCGTACTTGTTTGCTTAATTAATTCTACAAAGTGAGCTCATAGTCACAAGTCTCATGATACATATAGGTGAGAGTTAAATCAGACCTAGTTTAGATGCAAATAAGATACGACAGCAGCAGAGTGGGTCTGATCGCCGCTCAAGTTCTCCGAATTTCTGTTGCACCAAATGTATCCGAGTTCGCTAATAATAATCCACTCAGCCTTGCTGTTGTTCACCTTAGCTATACTCTTTGGGCCTTATGTAGTTCACTGCACAACTGAGCAATGTGAACGGGGCTTTCATCCCTCCTACTTTTCTTCACTCTAGAGTGTATGACAGAATAAACTATCTACCTCCTCACACATGAGTATTGGATACAGTATTGATTTCGTGGCTGTCATCACTTGGTTCAGTTCACATTCGGTCGATTCGCCACGATCATGGACAGTGGGAAATCAAGCTGACCATATACACCTGTTCGTTATAGCCGGAGCATTCGCATGAAACGTTTCATTTGCACCTCATCATTTAAGGCAAACAAAAGGGACCTTCATTTTTGGATGGAGCAAAGGAGGCTTTATTCGACCATATTAGGTTGTAGCTACATACATTGAGCAAAGTTGGAGGTGTTGTGTAACTACTGGAAGAGGACACTTATTCTTGTTGTCATTAGTGGTCAACTGTGATTGCGAATCAAACATGCATACTTCTCGCGCAAGATAAGCGTCTGTGCTTGATGTTTAAGGAATGAAAGACAGCGCCTTCAATAGGCCCGATTTTTGTTTCTTGTAGAGCATTTTACTCTGACAATTTCAAGCCTAGCCGTTTTACGATTTTCTGCGTCCGGAATTTAGAGTCGCTCTGTTGTACCAACTTGCCCAATTTCACGAACTGAGTATCCTTAGAATAGACGTGAAACCGTCGAACTGGTTGTGATCTTTTCTATGAAGAGCTGTTTAGCTTGGTAGTTAGTTATTGAAAGAGATTTGTGCAACCGTTGTTTATTGCTAATAAACACATTAAAACTCATGCAAGGACGGCATAATGGCTTAAACCGTGATGTGCATTCCGGTACACATAACCATCCATAAAACGCAGTTGGCAGTTCTTATCATGTAAGTACTCGCATACTTTTTTCAGTTCCCAACTAACGGTTATCGCGAGGCCCGATCAACCTACGGACCAATGTGCGATGGGTCGTTATCCGCCTGTCTACACACGTTTCCGGTCAGATCGTAGGCCGATTCTAACGACTTGTTCGTCTATTGCTTATGAAGACGGTCTATCCAGTGATATGCGTTGCATGTGTGCCGACTATCGTACTGCACTTGACCGATCTGGTCCAGGAAAATTTTCCATTAGCATTCTTAACCGAGATCATGAGTGGTTTTCGTAGAGAGAGTAGAGTAAATGGATAAGTGTCCTTGTTATTTCATGTTCACACTATTGTAATATTTCCAAAAGACGATTGAGTACGAAGCTAATCAACCGTAGGAACATATAACCACAATCCTGCTTCCGTCACTAATTCCTTTTTCATCACGGTCTCTCACAATACAGGAACTGCGTGAAAGGGTACTTCGTGGCACCTATCGGGTACCGTTCTACATGACTCGCGAGTGCGAAATGTTGCTGAAGAAGATGCTCGTACTCAATCCGGCTAAGCGAATCTCGTTGACGGTAAGTGTATCCAATGAGTTTTGTATGTGTATGGAAGAGATATTTCCGTTATCCCCAAAGCAGATGCTGAGCGTGCTCGGATGTCCGTATGTTTGGTCATTTACAGATAATAAAAATAGTAATAATAATTGCAATCCTTATTTTCTACCTTTTGCTTGTCCACCATATTATTATTGTTATATTTCAATACGAAACCAATTACAGAGAACTGGCAAATGTGCCATAACATGTGAAAAGAATGAAATCTGAAGAATGTGTTCATGGGTTGAGTGGGCATGTTACTTCCCGGTTGCCCTGGCCGAGGAATGGGGATAGCCTCGGGGTCCCCAATCGAGCCGGTGACCACTGCCGCGACCAGGAAGGTGTGCTTGCGGTTCGTACGCCTCATCTTGGTTGGTTTGCAATCACGGTTTTCAGCCAACTCCTTTAGGTAGACTACCAGTGATCCACCAAACTCGGTTATAGCCCCGGATGTGGGCTTTTCGTCCTCTGACTTTGGTGGGAAAACACCTCTGCCAGGAGAAGGCAGTGAGTGGGGCTTCCTCAGCAGAGGCTATTTGCGACGTTTGGTCCATATAGGAGCATTTTGTGAGGTGTAAGGAAATGGTGACCAATCACAAACCGGAACAACCACCCCGACCGTTCTAAGGCTTTCGGAGGCCATACGGTAGTCATATTTAAGGAGGCTAATGACTGATCGAAAGTGTACATTTATATGATGAAGAAACAGTTCGGTAGCAGTGATTCAATTTGAGCAAATGATATCGCGGTATATTTGACAGTAACCCATACTCATACCCATAGAGATGTAAGTGATCTCAGGAATTGGGGTCATTTAATATGCGTAGTTGCTTGTCTTGCGTAAGTCGTCATGCACTTATTTGGCTGCTCTACCTCTGCATCAGAAATCTTTCATGTTCCTTGAGGCACATCTGATCTCATTTGTCTCTATCATTGGCACAACTCTGCTGTGGTTTCGAGAATCTGAAACTTATCGGTTATATTCCACCAAACTGTTCGATAACTCAGACCAAGTTTAAGATAGTCAAGGCCCGAATATATTAGTGAACTAACTTTTTCCTTTTGAAGACTGTTACTCGTTAGTGGATGTGATATACAGTCGGTTCCAACTGGTGTAAACGAAATCTACCCAACTAACACAACTCTATGGTTCCCAAGGGAACCATACACAATCACTGGAGATTTACAGTCCGCACTTGTTTGTACTAATGCTAGATGCGCGCCCTCGACAAAAAGCTGATTAACGCTTCGGACATATTATACCAATACTCCCGTGACACCTGATAGTTTTTAAATCCGTTTATTTTCTTGTCCACCAACTGTATTGGGTTTCGTTCATTTGATATGTTGCATGGTTTTGTCACTTTATTTACTCCACAGCTCAGTTTGCAGTTTTCTCTATATCCCATATCCCATCGTTCCAGCATTTTCTGATTTGGTGAGGATCTCGCCTTGTTTCGGCTAATACAACAACGGTTTTCTATCATACCTCGTTTCTTTGTCACCATTTTTCCGAACGACTGACCACTTTCAGTGAGGTTGTGTTTTCGTCCGAACCGTCTATTTCCCGAATGGTCAGTCTCTTTACCCTGAGTCCGTTTCTATTGTCCAGGTGAACAGTTAGTTTGTTTATGTTTGCTTGATCCATATGTTGTTTCTTTCCGTTCTCACCGTGGATTGGTGCAGAACAGCCAGCTCTAACGGTCAGTTTGTTTAATAAATGTTTTGCTCCATACTAAAATAGCTGCGATTTTGCTTAAACCCAGAGTAAGATTGTTGTGAACGTGCTCATTTTTTTCCCTGCTCAGATCAATGTGAATGTTACTTGACTTCAGGCAGTCCTCATTCGTCCTTCAGTACCAGTATGGACTGTAGTTAACACATTTTTGTTCGACCGTTCGTGTTCTCCGTAGTTTTCTGTGATGTATTGTTGATGAGATAACGAAATTAATATATCCCATTTCGTAAGATGTTTTGCTCTAAAATTCACTGCCTCTTGTCCGCTTTGTTCAATAATCGGTTTTGTATCACACCACAATACCCCTTCCCATCCGATGCTTTCGGGGCCTCAGATGATTCTTCTATCCTATTTTAACTACGCTCTGTTAATAAAACAGAATAACTGCGTTATTCGACTGTAACGATGAGAAATCACCAACAGTTTCTTTCACCAACATCGGTCTGCTTCTCTCAGGTGATCTGTTACTATCACCTTGGTCCAACTTCGAAGATAGAAACTATTTTAACACTAAGTTATCACAGAAGGAAAAAGGTCGGATGTGGTGCTCAGCCTCGATCTCTTAGCTACTGAAATCAGTCAATTTGGTATGGAAAGCAAACGAATTCTGGTTAAGTGTTGTGCGTCGGTTATGTGAAAGATTATCATGGAAGCGGGGTTGATTCTCTAGTGTAAACAACAGTTGACTCATCATGTATATTATCACCCTCGCTAACATCATACTCCGCCAGTTGTCTGAGTTACACGTGAAAATCAGATTGATCTGTCACTTTATCGAGAAAGCGTAAGCCGCCGTACTCTCTAGCCTTTCATCAAATTCTTGAGCACGGGCATTCATCCATTTCACCCACCATCTCAATGTCCCATGGGTTAAATACGGCCTTCAAATCAGTCCACCACTCGGTACTCTGGCACTACCTATTCTTGAGGAGTGTGTCCTGTAAAGATCCAGATAAATTGCAATGTTCTCAGAATATTTTACTTCTTGGATGGTTATGTCAGCCATGCGTTCTGTACCTCCCAAGTGTTTAGTGCTGTTAGGAGTTCAATTAGTCTATCTCTCGATCTCACTCCCACTCCGGAGGCGACAAGAAAATTAGACGAATTTGAATGCTTGGGTGTTTGCATGTCTCCCGAAGGGCGAATCTGGGATAAATGTCAAAATGTCGTGCTGCAGTCAATAGAACATAAAACGAGTAAGGTGAAACAAACAGAATCTTTGTGTTGTGTTCTTTTCTGCAACCTATTCTGAACCGGGGGACCAAGTAGTACAAAAGCTCACAACGCATACAACTATGAATTCTTCTACTCTTATCAATCTCGAATCCAAAACTTCGTTACAGTGCAAATTACTCCACATAGTACACACCTCCATTTTCCCCAACCTCCCCCCATTTTACCTTCACCTTGTTCCACACACACAACACCTCTATCGGGTTCTTCAAACTATTGTATTAACAGTAATATCTCGGATGGGAATTTTGTTGCTGTGCTCTCGCATCCTAACTTGACTATCATCCAGATCTCCGAATCATCCACCGGCTGAATCCCCTCCAAACCTACCACTTTTAACGTGCGTACTGCGATGCATAGCTCGTACGCTCGAGGCTCTAGCCATCAATCCGTGTTGTATCCAAGATATTTGTTTTCAATACTTCAGCTCCATTTTCTGACGTTACCATAAAACAAACGTACCCAATTTCCCCTATGGCTCTCTGGGGATCCTGATTTTAGCAGGAAATATGAACGCTTGAGTAGACCGTTTGACTTTGGTTGAGGCGCACCTGGGAGGTCTTTTCGGACTAGATTCCTGTCTCTCAGAAAACGGGCAGTGGTTTTTGACTTTATGTTCCGACTACCCGTTTTTCCTCGCCAGTACGAACTTCAGACGTCTCAACCGCTGGTACGCCACTTGGCGTCCGACCCCCTCGAATCAGCGACGAGCGCAAATTGACCACATCACTATAAGCCATACTTGCCGAAGCTCCATACAAGACCGCCAATCGTACTGCAGCAATCCTGTTGAATCCGACCACGTATTTGTGCCAGGCTTTCCATGCGCTTCGGTGGACGTACAACTCAACGGCCGTTAAACTGAGATAAGCTGTCTCAACCAGCTTGCCTAACTGTATTTCAAATCGCGCCAGCTGTAAATCTGGAACTAACCCCACCCAATGACATAAACCAGCACTGGTCGCTTATCGATAATGCTTTGCATTCTGCTGGTTTAGTTGGTTCTGGTCTGGCACGCTGTGCCGTGACACCCTGAATTTATGCTGAGTCTCTACGCCTTCTTCAAGCACGCCGATCAATCCCGACCGGCAGCGAGCATAATGAATTACGACTCTTGACTAGACGTGAACTTAACGCAAACCTACGCGGAGACCATCAGCGTCAGCTTCTCACACAGCTTTTTTATTTTCACCTTTGCTTCGTATACATCTTTTCCTCGACGAATCTGTTTTGACGCTTCAGAGCCAAATCAGAATCACTATTTTTATTTCAGTTAAGGTTTAGGACCCCCGTTTAAGCATTTCCGCTCAAATGGTGTCGGTGCTACTTGGACTAAAGTGTCCTTCGTAAAAACTTGTTTCTTCTCCTGAACTCACAAATCCTTAACCCATTGAAAGGTTCAATATTCCCATGATAGCATTGAGGAAACGAGTCGGTGAGCGAACAATTGTTTTCGGATATTCGTAGTCATGCTCTTACATATCATATAGTGGAAAAAATTCTTACATAATCATAACCATCGACTCATTTTAAAGTCAATATTCGGAGGTAGTGAGTAGTGAGTAATGAGTGTGTGTGTGTGTGTGTGTGTGTGTGTAGGCAAGTTTAATGTTGATGTTAAGTTGATGTGACCTTTCCCCACCTGGGTCAATTGACACGTCTTGTTCCGTCTGAGTTTTTCACACACGGCCAAGGCAATTGGAGCGCCTGCACCAATCGCTTTTGGGCACACAGGTCGGGGCTTAGTAAGCGAATGGCGATCACCTCGGCCATAGCTAATGTCCAAACTCGGGCCGCCCTTGAGCGATTGATTGGGATGTGATAAACCACAAAAGCTTTCTCCGGATCGATCTTGTGGCCGGTGTCTACCAGATGCCCCACAATGGCGCTTGAGATACAGCCAGTTTTCCCCTGACACGTTGAGACAAACGCCTTACCATACGACAGATGTAACATGCGCCACAGACGCACTTAAAAGAGTAGATTATCATGGATGAGGTCAGTTTGG